TCGTTGGAAAGGAAAACGTCGAGGCAAGATCTGTCGTAGAAAAGCTCTCTAGGAAATGGTGCTTTTGGCAGTCTGCAGTCACCCCCCAGCCTCTTGTTTTTGTGTCTGCTCCATCTCACGTCACGTTGCACAAGCAGGGGAAACGGTTTTCCTATAAAAATGAACCCATGAGCATAAATGATGAGGGTGGATGAGAAATAAATTATAAACAGAGGGAAAGGTTGCGTCCGAACGCTGCGGTTTGAGGGGGACGTCGGGGAGGATCTGACCCCACACTTGCGGGGTGGAGGGGCTGGGTTAACTGGGAAGGGGCAACTCTCGCTCCCAGGTCCATCAGAGAGCGGAGGAATGTGTGCGAGCGCTCCGGCTCTTCCAGGACATCAGCAGCGGTAAATCCGTCCCAAACGTCCTGCCCCAGGACTTCGATCTCTCTGTGCTGAAGGTACCCAGGGGGGTCTGTGCTGAAGGACCAGGCGGGGGGTCGTTTGGTTGATGGGGGGGTCCGGGCACCCTTTGCTGTCAGGATGAGTCCTTGGTGCTTTTCCTGCTGGGACAGGTCTGCAGAGCCACAGTTTTCCATGTCTGGGCTTCTCGGTGTCTCTCTTCTCCTTTTTCTCCTCCGTGCGTGCCGGGGAAGCCGGGTCCCATTGCACGGGCGGTGAAACCACGGCATCCCGTGCAGAGGGCAGAGCAGCGGGGCTTTGCTCATCTTCCCTCGGCTTTTCCTTCCCTAGTTAAGGACCTTCTGCAGCGAGGTTTGGGCACAGGCTCCTCAGCCCTCTCCCTTTTGCAGGACAGCGTTGATGTGACCAAAGTGGCCGTCATGGGCCATTCCTTCGGGGGGGTGACAGCGGTGCTGGCCTTGGTGAAGGAGCCCAGCTTCAGGTGAGCCGTGGGAAGCTCCCGGGACATGTGGCTCATCCCGGAGGGAAGGGGATCCATGGCGTGTGTGGCAGCACCGTCTGTCCGTCCGTCCGTCCCACTGCAGGTGCGCGGTGGCTCTGGACGCCTGGATGTTCCCCCTGGAGAACGCGCTGTACCCGGAGGTGCCCAAGCCCGTGCTCTTCATCAACACCGAGACGTTCCAGACCCCGGAAAGCGTTGCCAAGATGAAGAGGCTGAGCTCCAGAAATAGCCAGACCAAGATCATAACCATCCTGTGAGTCTGGGGCTGG